AAATCATGTATTTGATTCCATATTAAGTGTCCATAGTACAGTGAGATAAGCTCAAGACCCATACATCTCTAGAATTTTAAACAAACTTGGTGTTGCCAATGGAGCATTATTCTCTTCATCTCCAATGGGACTTGGCTTGCGTTCACAGTCACATGCTCACAGGGGCACCGTTCGAGAAACACACTGGGAAGAGTGGTTGAAGATCGTCTCGGTCACTCCTTCCCAGTAGACCCTACTTCTGATCTCAGCCCACGTAACTTGATATACAACCCCCACCAGTGTGTCAGGAGAGGCTAAGTTGGTATGATGACTAGAAAGTAAGGCCCGACTGGAGATCCCCTTGCAGAGGGGTCTCGGGGAGGAGATGAGCCAGTCAGGGTGCGATGTAACAATGATGAGAAATACAACCTTCCTCTAGTTCCTAAAGGTTTCCTCCCCGCTCCCACTACCATGACTCGAATTCTATCTTGCAAGACTGGCTAGACCAGAGGAGGTACACTGGTACAGATAGGAACTGAAAATACAGGGAATCCAGGACAGATGAGCCCTATAGGACCAGTGGTGTGAGTGGCAAAACAGGGAGGGTAAAGGGAGAATGGGTAGGAAAGAGGGAACCGATTACACGGAACTGTGTGTGACCTCCTCCCTGGGGGACAGACAACCAAAAAGTGGATGAAGGGAGACGTCGGACAGGGCAAGATATGACAAAATACCCATTTATAAACTATCAAGGGCTCATGCGGGAGGGGGAAGCGGGGAGGGAGGGGAAAAATGAGGACCTAATGTCGGGGGTTTAAATGGAGAGAAAATGTTTTGAGAAACGATGTACAAATGCGCTTTACACAATTGATGTGTGTATGGATTGGGATAGCAGTTGTATGAGCCCCTAATAAAATGTTAAAAAAGAAAAGAAAAAAAAAAAAAAAGAAAGTAAGGCCCGGTGATCGACTTGCAGAAATAAGCCAGTGACGATCTTTGGCTTAAAACTGCCCAATCAGCAACCCAGGACCTCTGGCTTTTCATTTCCTTCTGTTCTACCTGCGGGGCGCCAACTTGCTAGGGAAAGACTCGGTGGCATGCAGGGAGCTAGCCGGAGACACAGGCTCAGATTTTCTAAAGATTTTCCTGCTCTGGATTCATTTCCAAGAACGAGCGAGTAAATGGCTATGTTAGGAGTGGGGATTTCTGATTCTGGACTACATTTCTCAGAATCTACGGGAAGGACCCAAAATACATATTAGGAGCAAATAGGTACCACCTGTCTCGGCACTACATTTTCCCTGAGTCATTGTCCTGGGATAGACCTGAGGAGACAGGCCTGTCTGAAACCTGCCCTGTCCAGCTCCCCACATTTGCAAATTCTCTTGACACTAGACGGTAGAAGCCTAAGCTCCCAAGCCTGTGGGGTCGTAGCTCCTTTAGGGATGGAGCGAGACGTCTCGCATGCAGAGCAATCTGGGGGCGGGGGCCACATTTTCCACTCAGGGAAGTCCCTGCTCTGCAGATGTTTCTCAGTGACAGCATCTTCAGTGGCTATTCTTATTCCACCCTAGGGCAATCCAACAGCCTTGCTTCCATGAGGAGGGTTCTTGGAATTTGGACATCTCCCAAGAGTCTGTGCGACAGGGCTCCATCAGCACCATCCCGAGTGGTACAGCTTGGAAGATATGGACAGCCTTGCTCCCATCTCGATGGTTGGGCGACATTTCCCAGAAGCCTCGGGGGCCCAGCGCCGGCAGGACGGCATCCAGTT